TCTTCCCAAAACTACACTGAACTGCATTTTTCAAAACTATTCAGCAAGCACTCAGGTAGCAATGTGATGGATGCAGCAGGTCAGCCTGGATGCACAGCTAATCAATATTGCACTCTGCAATAGACACTGTGTGCTTCAGAGCCCAAAGCAGAGGTGAGCACACACGTACATCCAGTACCACCAGCTCTTATTAACATCAGCTGGGCTGCTCACTGTACATCCCAGGTATGCACAGATGTCTTTGTGGGAGGAAAAAAAATGTAGCAGGACCACTTCGATGACATGTGTTGCAGATAGTGAAAAATGCACACATGACCCTAGTTAGCTATGCATTTTTAAGTTATTGTAAAAGGTAGCTATTTACTGCTATGTACTGGTAGCTATTCAAACAACAGAGTAAGACCACAATATATTTGTTTTTTCAATAAGCTATGCACAGCATAAGCACACCTCATTCACATAAATGTGTACCTACCACATTAATGGAATTTCCACTGCTTATATCACTGAAGATAAAGTTCTTCATTATATATTTGATTAATCAATACTTTGGAATAAAATAAATCATGTTTCAACAGGGAAAACAAAAATGAATAAGGTTAAATTACTGCTGTCACTTTCTATAAGCAGGTCACAGTTTCCCGCTATAGAAACCACTAACTTAATTATTTTACAACAGGAAATCAACACTGCAGCATATTTTAAAAGCCTAATTTACTTAGAGTAATAAAAAAGCCCCCTCAAGGCTCATCACGTATGTCCATACTATGTTCACCTTTAAGCATTCCAGCTCAAGAACAGTATGAGAAAACCTCAGTAAATCAAGCTGATTAATATTCTGCATTTGTAAGGAGTAGTGCTCTCAATTCACCAAGTATACATAAATGTTATTTTATTAAATTTCAAAGCAATTGTTAGGTGGGATAATAAAATGTCTCCATCTTATAATCTTTTTCCCAGCAAAGCTTAAAAACAGAAGCGAAAGTAGCAAGTTAATACACACTAAAGGAGAGAAGCTCATAAATGAAGGATTCCAGAGTTGCAAGGCCATGGTAAGTTCCTGCAGAACACAGAACTTTACATTCAAGGCAGAAGCATTTGTATCAGGTTTGCAAATCTTCAGGAAGAATGGCTGGGGCTGCAAGAGACCTTAAAGGTCATCCAGTTCTAAACTCCTGCTGTGGGCAGAGTTGCCAGCCACTAAATCAGGCTGTCCAAGGCCCCATCCAACCTGACCTTGAACATCTCCATGGATGTTAGATTAAAAAGTTAAGGATTATTTATTTATTTATTTTAATTTCTAGTACTAATCACAGTTCATAGTGCGTTCCTGCAGGAATCGTATTTCATGAAAATAGTCTGGAAGGGTAACTGAAGAACAGACAAGAACATAAAAATTTATCTGGGAAAAAAAAAATAATTATTATTTTTAAAAGGAAAAAAAAGGGGGGGAGGAAGGAAGGGAGCAAAAAAAAAAAAAAAAAAATCTGTTTCTACATTTTAATTCGTACACAGCTTTGCTTTACAGAGCAATGTTCCCTATCCTGCCAATTAGTTTCTCCTCTTCTAAAATGCATTCCTTAGTACAAATTTCTCCCAGAAATTCTTCCAACAGCATTTCATTTTCTACTCAAAAACAGTCACCAAAATTAAGATCAATAAATCATAGTTGTTTCATTAAGCTATCAACTCCCTGTCGACTTCAGCAGAAAAATCGAAGACATATCCTCGCCCTAACAAATACTCTTCCTTTCAATAACAGCAGATAAAAAAACAGAAGCAATTGTGAATCACTGTTTAACTAACATGTCTTTAAAAACCTGGACCTCCTAATGACAGTTAAGAGTCAATTTGCCATTAAACAAAAGATCAGATTTACTAAGCGTAGCGTTACACTTGAGAATTGCTATGTTTCATTGTTACAGCCAGCTGCATACAGCCTCCTGACCAAGGAACATTTTTGATATTTGAGTCAAGATGTGGTGCTTGTATCCATACAATTTGTCATCTTAGAGATTATTTTAGGCTCTTGAAGAATAGGAACTTACCTGATTCATTAGCTATCTCTCAGTAAGAGAAGGAACTAAACTCTTTTTCCAATTACATCTCATCATATTTCAACTTATTTGTTAAATTACCAAGCTGAACTTCTCTTGGAACATTTCCCATTAAAGTAATTCCCCACAGATTTTCTCATAAGGAGCCAAAGTGTAGCAGGGGGGCACAAGTAAATTGTAATAAAACTAAGACTGATGGCCCTAACCTAATAAATGCTATGATCAGAATCATTATGTCGAGCATAATAGGATTTTTATTGCACTACATTCACAGTAGCATTGGTATGTTAGGTTTCAGGAAGACAATAAAGTTAAGATTACCATGAAAAAACAGCTTTTTTTTTTTTTTTATGTTCACATCATATTTTTATACTAATCAATGCTTCCATTTTGATAAAAGAAAAAAAATATATGCAGTAACTTGCATCTGACCACAACTACAGTACAACACTTATGGGAATGTCAAACATACAGACCCTTTTATGTAGCAGAGGAACTTAATGAACTTGTTATGAACATAAACATGTATTGCTAAAAAAAACTATTTAAATACATTAGGCTTATATAATGCAGGGCTGAAACCTATATATCATGGGCAGTATGTGCCAGCAGAGAAAATGAGGTTCACAGGTCTGTATGTCTAGGATTGTCTTCAATAGTTTTTGGTGAAGCAAACAATGGACTAATAATCAAGCCCGTTGCCTTGAGGAAGCTTTTACAAGTCCAAAATCAACTACTATCAAATGGTATGTAAATTATCAACTCCTGTTTTCAGATGGCATATATACTCAAAGAATTAAAATAACTCTGGATAACGAGCCAAGAGTAGAAAGATTACTTATCATATCACATCTCCACTGAAATTACTTTTCCACCAAGAATAATGTCAAGCATTATGATCTTAGCTTTTCCAGAAGCTGCTACAAGTCTTTTATAATAATGCAATGAACATAACTATTCTGTCACCACTAATTCAGAGCTTTGTAAATACGAGGACTGCTCTGAATGCAATGCCACCTATGCTATTACGTTAGCTACAACATCTGAGGTCAGTTGGTAGTATGGCAATAGAGAATGAATCTTTCAAACACTATTGCCTTACATTTTGTTGCTATGTGACAAATTGCAGTAGAGGGGCAGACTGATATAATGGTGTCTGACACAGAAGTGCAGAGGTAGCAAAGGTATGCAATTTAAGTACTCCATGCAGAAAAAATGGCAACCATTAATATTCATCAGTGCTTGCTGATCGTTTATGGAGATGAAACAGTGGATGTGAGCACAGTGATGTGGTGGATGGTGTGCTTCAGTGGTGCAGTGGTGACTGAAAAACATGCTATGTTCCAGATGTTCATGTAGATTTTTATGAGCATGGAATGCAGGTTCTTGTTTATCGTTGGTAAAAAAACAATACATAGCTAATAGTAATGACTATGTTCAAAAATAGCATTTTGTAGAGGAGAATTTGCTCTATCAAGTATTTATGTGTTTCTTTCTATCTTCTGTAGTTTCCATGGAAATAAATAGGAGGCATTACTTTTGAAGCAACGAATGTATGCAAAGTAACAAAATAGAAACAAGGCAAAGCACATGCTAGAGAATATTATGTATGGAAAATGGTTCCTCCAGTTAGTTTGCCCACAGTGGGCCCAGGAAATAATCATGTTTAAACATTATAATTTCTTATAAAAAGTTTTTTTTTTTCTTTTTTCAATCCATGTTTCTTCACCCATTCGTTTACTTTCTATAACCCCATAGTAGCATTACTCACTCCTAGTTAAAATGACCTTGGTTTAAGTTAGTTTTATCCTCAAACTTTTTAGCTCTCAATTATTTAGGAAACAAGTTATTCAGCCCTCTATACTACTCTTCTTTTTATCAAATACAATGAAAGAGGTGTCTTTTGCTTTAAATAGATATGCAAACAGGCTTACAATGGCACAACACAGTGGTTAAATACAAACATCATAGAATTATCATGCAGAGAAAAATGGAAACAGGAGCATAATTCAACCAGCAATTATATGTCTATAATAATTTCCTGCATAAATTTGCAGCAAAGGAGGGAGCAGAACTGAAAACATTGCACATCTGCAGGAATAAGTGTCAGAAACTCCTCTTCCACCTGAGTCTGCATAAATGTACAGTATAGATATATGCATTTGTGGATGGAGAAAGGGTTAGAAAATAGCAAGTGAAAGCAAGGGTCACTGTCAGCTGTGATAGTGTCACTTTCATGTCACTGTCATAGGAAGCATCACAACAGAGTACAAACTCAGAGCTCTACACTGTGATCCAACATAAATCTCACATGTTTTACACTCCTTGAATCTTTTGGAGTTACCAGGACCTTCCTGCTTATGGAAAAAGGAAGGCAAGATTCCCTACTGCAAGTGCCCTGATTTACCAAGAGCTTAGGTAAACCTGTTCTAAAATTCTTTTGAACACATTGAGAGTTCACCATGGCTATCATTATTAATCAATGCAGTTCATGAAAGCAATCATGTTACACTCATGCCTCAAGTCAAGGCCTCCTCATTTGAAGCATGTTATTCTAGCAGGCACAAAATCAAGTTACAGTTATATCAGCAATAGTTTTCTTTGTTTGTGTTTTGCAACTGAGTGGTGGCAGAAGTCACTCTAAAGATCTAGAGAACTAAATGAGTCTGCTTTTGGTGCTGTGGTTACAAGAAATTTTTACAGGTACAGAAGAATTCCATTTAATAATTGACCATATGAAGGCAAAAAGCAATGTTAAAGAGTACCTTTCTGTCAAATGGCACGGGTATTTACAAATCAAACTAATAAATGCATACTGCTTCTACCTTTCTAAGGAAATAACTCTTAGTTATTTCCAAGTAATTGTACCGAACACATTTCCATATTTCACGTTTCTAGAATAATAACATCTCTTTGAAGATATCCAATATTTCTCTGTCTTACCAGTCCGATGGTGATGTTGTTCTTCTAGGAACTCCAAATCAAGCATTAGGTCATCTTCATCTAACTCACAGGAACCCAAGTTATTCAAAACATCCTAATAAAAACAAAACAAATAAGCAAAAGCATTTAAACAGATGAGTCTAAATCTCTTCCACACAATCAAACTTCGAAAATAAGTCTAAGAATTTGCTACAGGAAATTTTTTTTATTTACATTTGACTAGAGAGAAAACAGTATAAAACACTTGGCCAAATAGAAATGTATTTGTTGCTATTCTCTGTTTTTCAAGATCTTGAATATCTAAGGAAAGAAAAACAAAACACAGAAACAAGCAGAACACAAAATTATCAGTAGCTGTTTCTCATTAAATTTTGGAATTCTAATCGGTATCTGCTCTTACCAGTATTATCTGAACATGATCTATAGTTCTGTTTATCGAAGGCGTAAAGAAACAAGTATAGGATTACCAGAAAATCCAGGTATGATCAATCAATTCAGTAATTTTGAAGTATTTGTGTGAACAATAAAGGCTTACAGAGACAGAAAAGAAAGCCTGAGTATGTAGTGTGGCTCCTTGGGTCCCCAGTCTCTTTAAGTGATTTACTGTGTTTGCAATCATCTGAGGTGATCATTTTCTCTAGTCCCTCTCCTGACTATGGAAAAGAAGGAGGCTATCATTTTCTCCAGTCTCTATCAATCTAAATTAGTTATACACAAGGGATGAAAACGGGTTATCATCTTACATTTTCCTCCCATTAATGTTTTTATTCTATGGTCAAGACTTTATGATTAGTATGATACAATTAAAAGGAAAATGTTTTGAAGGGAAATTAGTACTATCACATAACGTCAGGTACATCTACTGCATTTCTTCTGACATGATAATATCATGATTTTCTCCACAGTCACAAACGTCTAAACCAAGATAAGACCTGCATTCTGCAGCTAGCATTTTGTTTGAAAATCTAGAAGTGATACCACAACCAGCATGATTCTTCAGTCACTCACAGAGGAAAATATATATTGGACTTGTCCATAATAAATTGGCACCACACACATCCCTTATGTTTCCCATTCAAATCTAAACCAAACGCTGGTTTTCAACATGTACAAGATCAGGTGATTGTTTCAATGTATCAAGCTGCTTTTGGGGGCTGGAGATACCTACAGATATCTGCTGTAGGGAAAGAAAGCAAAGAAACCTAACAGCATTATACCGCAAACCAGCAAAAGCCCTTTATGACTTCAGTTCCAACCACGCTTTTTCATGTTCCTTGTAACTCTTTCAAGTATTTTTCCCCCATAACAGATGTCAGTTCCTATTCACACTCAAAGCTTACATTTATTCAACTCTTTTGAGTAATAATTTCTTTAAATTCTATTTTCCACTCTTTCAAAAACAACATACAGGCAACACAAGGACCTCTTGCATCATTTCCCTTGCTTTCCACTAGCATAAGAATATCTCTTCTGAAATGCAGAACCCATTGTTAATGCTCTCCTTATATTTACAGATACCAAGCACACAAAGTAACAATTGTCAAGTGTAGAAATCTCCCAACAATGCATACAGCACTGCTTGTTCATCACCTGACCGTTACAGTTGCATCTAACACAGAACATCTTATTCCTTTTATCAGAGAGCTGCTGGCAAGCCTTCTTCATAGAAACTACTTTCTTCAAGCCAACAAAATGCAGACTTTCAATAACCAAATTACTTATTACAATCCAGTACATAAGCATAGTAATTCCATAGAATACAGGACATAGATGCATTGTGTCAGGTTATGGTACCCAGTACCTACACTGACACACACACCTTTCTAGTCTGGATTTATGTTAACATATAGAATATAGAATCATAGTATCAATAAGGTTGGAAAAGACCCATAGGATCATCCAGTCCAACCATTCACCCATCACCAGTGGTTCTCGCTAAACCATGTCCCTCAACACAACATCCAAACGTTCCTTGAACACTTCCAGGGTCAGTGACTCCACCACCTCTCTGGGCAGCCCATTCCAGTGCCCGACCATCTTTTCAGAGTAGTAGTATTTCCTAACGTCCAGCCTGAACCTTCCGTGGCGCAGCTTGAAGCCATTCCCTCTAGTGCTATCACTAGTCATACGAGAGAAGAAGATTACCTCCAGCTCACTACACCCTCCCTTCAGGTAGTTATAGAGAGCAATAAGGTCTCCCCTGAGCCTCCTCTACTCCAGACTGAACAATCCCAGCTACCTCAGCCACTCCTCGTAAGACTTGTGCTCCAGACCCCTCACCAGTTTTGTTGCCCTTCTCTGGACACACTCCAGGGCCTTGATGTCTTTCTTACAGCGAGGGGCCCAAAACTGGACACAGTACTGGAGGTGCGGCCTCACCAGTGCTGAGTACAGGGGGACAATTACTTCCCTGTTCCTGCTGGTCACACTATTTCTGATGCAAGCCAGGATGCCATTGGCCTTCTTGGCCACCTGGGCACACTGCTGGCTCATGTTCAGTCTAGCATCAATCAACATTCCCAGGTCCATTTCTTCTACATAGTCTTCCAGCCACTCTACCCCAAGCCTTTATAACAAAGCCAAAGTAAAACTAGCTTAAAGAAAAATAAAAAAGTTTCTCTGTATTAAACCAAAGCAAGACAACATGCACTGCTCAGTGTTATAGATAGCCTAAAACTTAAGCATCTTCTAAATCACTGTTGGGGCTTGTGGAGTACTGAAGACTGAAAATGTCATTTAGGGTTAATGTAATAGTAGCCAAATACTTTACAAAATGTAAGCAGCAAGGCACTACAAGAATTTGTTTTCTGTTCTAGGAGACATGACTGAAGTACCCTCTAGTCCAACTGTTTTTCCAGAAAGAGAATCAATGGTTATCCATACAAACATGCAGAAGAACTTATTTACAGTAAGGGTGATGGAGCACTGCAACAGTTTTCCCAGAAAGATTATGGGTCTCCTTGTGGAGATATTCAAGACTCCTCTAGACACCTACATATGTGACCTATGGGAGGGAACATGCTTTAGGAGGGAGCTTGGACTCCATCTCTGGAGGTCCCTCCCCAATCTTGCAATTCTGCGATTACATCAAGTTAAGAGCAGATGAATGTAACAAAATAGCATCTAAAATATGGAAGAATTTTTTGTTCACTTCATTTAGACACTACTAATCAGTCAAAATAATGTATACTCAGAGAATGTACAACTTATTTCATTTATATGTTGTTTTATAAATAAAAGCATTCCACTGAACAAGTCCAGAAGAACAATCCCTGCAATTTTAAACATCTAAAGCTTTTCACATCAGTACTGTTAAACGGCAAAAAAGATGAAATATGCAGGCTTGTTCCTTAACATTATTTTATATATTATAGTCAACCAAATTAATCCATTTTGTTAGCAGTGCTAAACATTCTTTGATCTTCTCCATAACAATAGTAATGAGCATGGTTTCATGCTAATTGAGTATGTATATGCCACACCTTGTGCATTCACGCATGGGTGGAAATCTTGGGAGACTGCCTGCAATCAGTAGAAAATACAGTGATTCACTATATTAGGCCTCATCTTCTAAGCTGAAGCAACTCCACCAGGTGAAATGAACTAAGATCAAAGAGTTTGTACATAGGGCTCCTTTATATGTACAAATGAACACTTGACAGAGGGAGTTTCTCTAGCTTCTAGATGGCATGTGCCTATTCTGTCAGATCAGCAGTCTCTTTCTTCTCCTTGTCCACTACCAAGGAGAATAACTGACTTGCCAACAGCTGCTCCATGGATACAGATTCAGGAATGCATAAAAGCACATCCAAGAAGAGGTGCAGTAGTTTGCTTCCCAGACCTATCCTAACACTAATATTTTTCTGAAAACAGGCACATTCATAATAAGACAAAAATACTTCAAGACTGGTCTGCCCAATGCCACAGAACAGCTCAGACATGTCTTCCACTCCTTTGCCTCCTTGCTAGGTACCATTATCCCCCGCATCTCCTTTATTGTTATGACAATTAGTAACAATTGTAATTTCTGTTAAAACTTAATACCTCTTGACCCTCTTCTCATTCTCCCACTACTGCTACTACAGTCTTTGAAGATTAACATAATTAAATAAAAAGAGGGATAGAAAAAAGAGAGGTTAAGTCTTAAATAACATTCACAGCGAATAGCTTAAAGGCATTGTCACAAAGAAAAAGAAATGAACACTTCCATCAGGGTCCCAAGGAAAAGTCTGTTGTCTATTTATGGCAATATATCATTTATTTATTCCCAGAAGTAAATTGTTCAGTGAAAGCAGAAGCTCTGCAGCAAAAATCTCTTGACTTTCTAATACCCCTTTATAAGCCTTGAAACCCATTTCCTACTTTTGTGCCTCTTTCCCATTCGACTTCTAGCACTGTTTTGCCTTTAAAGTGCATCAGAAATTTACACAATGGTGCTTTTTCCTTCCAACTATTCCTCATACTGCAACACCTATTCCTCCTCAGCAGCATCGGTAACTACAACTCAAGAGAATATTCAGTGGTATATTTCAGTAATTTTTTTAGTAACAATTTTTGTATTAAAGATTTTAGCAACAGCAAAACCTATAAACTATTTTTTTTCGTCCAAATGCTAAGTATCTTATTCAAATCACTGGCATTGGTGATATTCAGTTTAGAAATATAACTCCAGAATACTTTTACTGTAAAAGAGATGCAGTGACTCATACTGATATATCACAGAAAAAGCTGAAACATAGCAGGAATAGAAATACATGTCCTCCAAGTATTGCATTTTTACTCAGCATCACTGAAAGGGACCTTCCTGTAATCTTGCATTCCCTCCCTACCTCTTTTCCTCTTCCTAGCTTCCCTTCTTGTAATCACTACAAGGAAATTTAATGTGCAGTATACGAATTCTCTATCCTTTTCCAGAATAGTAAAGTATTTCAATACTTTTTGCCCTGTTGCAGCTCAGAGTCTACAACTTCTAGGAAGTTTGAAAACTGCAGTAATTAAGAACAGCCATGGTAATAAGTACATATGAAGTGCCCAAAGTAACTAAACTCACATCTACTGTTAGTAAAACAACAAAAAACAGATAATATTTTGTTT